CTATAATTAATTGTGCAACTGTAATTGATCATCAAATTAAAAATTTCCATATCATTTCGCATACAATTTTTTTTACAAAAAAAGCAAAAGAAAAATAACAAAATAAATTAGAGTTTTAAATCAAATATAATATATTGTTTATTAAATAATTTAAATAATTTGATCCAATTAAGTTAGATTAGGTCAGGTCAGATCAAATGAAAATTTAAATCAAGTCAGATTTTTGTTTGAACTGATCTGATCCTCTTAGTTTAGGTAACTTAATTGACCTGATCTGAATTGACCTATTTAGAGCTCTATTAGAAAGCAAAAGCCAGTTTATTATTTAAATGTAACTCATTTAGAAATTTCAAATTACTATTGACTTTTAGATAAAAAATTCAAAAGAATCGTAAGCTTGCTTCCAAATATAGTTCATTTAGATTTTAGCTATAGCAGAGGATTTAGTGAGAACTATGAACAATATATGTATATGTTAGATTTGAGATTGCTTATTGAACATAAAAAATTTTTGATTAAGTCACCTAAAATTTTGCATAGCAAATAGTAAAATTTTAATATAGTCAAATATGTATTTGCATAGCAGAAATAAAAATTATCAAACTCAGTAATTAGTTTACGTAGTAGAAATATATTTTTAGAAATATATGTAATGTTAAATATAATCCAAAAAAAATAATTGTACCTCTTAAATTAAGACACGTAAATAAAATCAACATATAATTTTTAAATTAATTTAATACGTAATGGTGTAATAAAATTTTGATCTATTTTTATATATAATTGTGCAACAAAAATCTAAGCTATTTTTATATGTGATAGTGTAACAAATTTATATATAATCATGTAGTAAAATTATATGTAATAGCTCAACAAAAAATTGTGTAATGCATTTTTGACGTAACTAAGGTAAAATTTGTTTATATGTTTATGTAATCTAAAAATCTATAAATAGAAAGTCAGATCAGTAGGTAAAAAAAAGAGAAAATAAGCTTTTTTTTTTGTTCTTTTTCCAAATTTTTGTTTTTTACAATACCATTTATGAATCAATCATTAAAAGTTGCATCATTTTTACTTAGTAACATTTTTACAATTTTTGATGTTTTTTATAATAAAATTTAACATTTTTTAACAGTTTTATACTTTCGAAATTTGAATATTATATATTATATGTGATTTTATTTGTTTTACAACTTTACTTAATCTTAAAAAATAGGTACTGCTAAAATACAAAATCAAATAGAACACAAAAGTTAATTGTAAGTCTTAACTATTTTTTGTATACTTTTGAAATTTGAGTATTATATGTAATTTTATTTGCTCTATAACTTTACTTAATTATAAAGTAATTTATGAATGCTAATTTTGAGTTTAATATAAAAAAACTGCTAAACAAAGTATAAAAGTTTATCATAAGAGAACTTTCATATATGAGAATAAGAGTCTGAATAATTTAGCTAGTCCAGAGCGGGTTAAGAGGACTTTGTATAATTATTAATTAGATTTTTTTGCTGAATTATACTTTATATGACAAAAAATATAGTAAATTTTTGTATTACCACACTTGAAACGTCTAAACTTTTGAATATATGCTCTCACATCTTTCTCAGCTTCTTTTTTTATTATTTCTTTATCAGTATAACTGACAATACCAAGATAATGTTAAATAATGTTTATATCCTCATCCAGATATAAAAGCAAATGATATTTTTCTCTAAGTGAAAATTCCCTCAATGATCTATCAATAAGATCTTCTTTATATTGATATAATGTATTAAGGGTTAGGTATTCACCAATCTCAAGATGCTCCTCTATTGATATAATTATCTCCACTAAATTAAAAAATAGTCTACTTGTATAATCAAGTATTTTTGCTTTCTTGCTTTAATTCAATGCTGTTTGGTTTACATTGTTATTAATACTAAGATTTCTTTCAGCTAGATACTCCTGAATAGCTAAATACATCCATCTTCTTATACAAAAATACTTTATATAGTTGATTTTCAAGTATTTTGCTTTGAACAAATTTATTATTAGTATTACTTGTCATGATTGTATTTATCTCTAACTAGCATATATTCAAATTTATATTTGAAATACTGATCATTAACTGGAACGGTGATCACTAGCTCAAAAGATTTTTTGCTGAGCCATAGATTGTGTGACAGAAAAAATAAGTGGAATATCAGTCAGGTTTTGTGTAACATATTAATTTTCACATATACTGAAAAAAAGCTATGTACACTACTAATACTTTATTTTTTATTAAGTATAATTGATCTACAATATTAGCAAAATGTTTGATGAGAATATAGATGCTAAGAAAGAGAAAGCCTTCAATGAATTTACCAAAAAATATGAACAGAAAGAAGAGGATTGGACTATTTATAATGATGATTAGCACAACTGGTATAACCTTTTTTGTGAAATTAAGATCATTAGAACATAAAGGTGGTTAAGTATTGAAGAGAGAAAATACTTAAGCGATTTGTATTTAGTCTATCCAGTGTAAATAATTTAATATTATTATTTTATATACTCTTACAATCAAATATTATTTATCTTTCACAAATAATAAGTCTAATAGAATTGCCATATTATTCACTTAAACTTCAATCAGAAATATGGGGTCCCTTCAGGACTTGACCAGATGGTATATATTGATCAATCTGAGGTTAGTGATCTTCAGCTTAGAAGAATTTGCTGAGCTATAAATTATGCGACAAAAATAGGTTGATCACATAATAGGTCTTTACGACATTTTCACATATTAATTTCACATATATATTTGCTAATTAGTATCTCTATTTTTTTCCCAAACAAATGTAAGAAAAATGTGAAAGGAGGTCTACATGCAACACAGGATCTACTGTAAAAGTAAATACTGATAGTAAAAGCATATGTTATAAAAAGCTGAGGACTTTAAAATTTTGAGATCGCTAAGCGTAAAGTCAACTATATGTTTTTCTGGTAGATCTCCATGTGAAAAGGTATGAAAATTCCATTTACATGTGCTTTTATAGAGCTTTTGGTATAAGATAACATTACTAATTATGCTTCATACCTTTTTAACTTTAGCTTAATACTCTTTTTCTAGCAAGATATAAAGCATATAGAAGTATGTAAAAGTTCAGCCAACCTTTTGCAAAAATTATTCCTGTAAAAATAACGCAAAATAAGATATATATATGCCATAAATTATATATGTATAGGAGGGTCTCTTTGTGATTGAATGAGTTTTTCTTACTATAAACCTTGTATTTAGAAATCAAAAAATGGCCAATATTATTGACTTCAGGTTTAAAGTCAAAAATGAAAAGGATGATAAAATCTTTAAAATCAAAATAGTCTGATAAACATTGGTCAAAGATGTCATACCTACTATTAAAAAAGAAATGGCAATACAAAATAAGCAAGTTTCTAATGACATTAAGCTTTATGTGAATGATCTAAGAGGGACAGCAAAAGCGTTAAAACAAGATAATATGATTTTTAAGTATTTTAATATTGATCATATTAAAGAGAGTTTCATTCTCATATATCTCCAGTAATTAGAATTTTTTATTTATATTTATTATCATACTATATAATAGTTTTTATATATTGTAGGTTGACTACCAGCAACTATTTTATTTCATAAATAAAGTATTATTTTATTAAACGTATATAGAACAGGTCACGTGTAATGATGCAATGACTGTATAACATAAAAATCAATATTAATATCCAGTATTCACTTTTCCAAACAGAAATAAAATTTTATCTCACTTCGAAATATAACATTATTTTTGTTTGAGCTTAATATTCCTATAAAAATATAACATTATGTCTAAAACTAGTATATCTTATACTCCAACTTCTACCATTACCTTTAGTAACAATGAAACAGTCTCACTAATAGACGAAATTAAAAAATATGACATAGCCAAGCTTATAGAATATTTGCAAGGGCAGAACTTAGGGTTTAGTGAAACGGCTATCAAAATTTTAGAGAAGGAAAAGCTTAATAATAGGGACTTCTTTGACATGATCAAAGAAAGTATATGCAAGATAGTTTAGCAAGAGAATCTGCTATAAGATTTATGAAGTTCGCTAAGGAATGTAAGAATAAGAAATTAAGGATCTTTTTAATATATTGCAGTTTGAGAGAAGTTTTAGCAAAATATGACATTAAATTTAATAGCACAGACGTCATTTCACACTTTTCACTATAACCTCCCAAGATTCAAGATTCTAACAAGCATTTAGAACATTGTGTGAAGAATATTTTATTCAGGATGAAGCATTACAAGTCTTTAGTTATGAATAGCTTAGAGTCTATGCATAATGAATACGTTTTAACCATACTTCATATGACTCTCTATATTATAAAAGATGAAACAAATAAAGAATTTAGCATAAGGGCCTGAATTCGAAATAATTAGAAAAGAAAGTTCCAGTCAGGTCAATTATGCAATAATGGTATGTAAGTTTTTTCTTGGCATTTTTCATTCATATTTTTCGAGTATGAACTAATACCATACTTACCTTTTAGGAATCAGAGAACCTTATTTGTATCACTGAGGATAAGGTTCAGTATAATATTCTTGAAGGTTATGCCCAAAATATAAAACAGCTCAAGAGCTCCTATGAAATAAACAGGAGAGAAAACGAAAATGTGAGGATGATAATTTTGATTATCTGTATGATATCGTAACCACTGTCAGGGATTGGCATTTTCTGTTTTATAGTCTGAGTGAAATTTCTCAGGTAAGTGAGCTTTCGCTTGCTATCAAATTCAACAAGAAGGCCTTAGTCAAAGATTCTGAAGAATATAAAATATTACATAGTGACGTGAAAAATGTCTTGGGTATAGTAGTTGAAATGTTAATAGATAGGGCAAGTGTGGAAGACGAATCTTTCTTAAAGAAAAAAGCTAAGGTAGAGGGATATTAATCGAAAAAATAATTATATATATTAACCTAGACGCCATATATCAGTTGTATCACAGGCTACGTCCTGAACTTTATATTTATTTTTCATATATATTAATAAAAAAGTGAATTTTGCAGATATATATGATTAGCGAAAAAAAATATAGTTATGGGATAGGGGTTTCATGGCTATATATAAATTTATATCATATTCACATTTTAACTGAGAAGCCGTGTTAGAGCTAATACATACTCTAGTTCTAAAATATCTGTTTTTATGAATGCGTCATATAATACATTTGGTTTATATCTTAAAAGTACTAAATTCAGATTATAGAAAAATTTCATAAGTATCTTGTTCTTTCAAGTTTTCATCTCTTCTTACTTTTAAGTTATTCCTATTAGTATTATCAAGTTATCATTGAAATAATTCATTCAAATTAGATTCTGAAGCAAGAATTGTTTATTTTTTTCAAGAATGAATAAACTCATTCCTCCTATAACCGCAGATTCTATACTAATAGAAAAGTTTTTACGAATATTCACTCTACTAGCTAAAATAGATAAAGGCAAAATTAAGGCTAGATAGTAGAAATCAGCTAAGAGATCCAGCTCAAATTCACTTACATATATGATTCCAATATCTTTTAAATAATCTGAGAGTTTATCAACATATTTATAGCCTTCACGAATTAACTTCTGAAATAGCTTTCTATTTAGATTGATTCATTAGCTGATTAGAATATTGAGTACTATTTTTTTGTGTCTATAAATGATGATTTATACTGTAGTATATGATTAATCATTTATGATATACTTTTTTCACCACAGTTCAATTAGAATTTTCTCATTTTAAAATTCAAATTCTATAATGTGAAAGGTGCAAGAATATAATAAATAGATTGTTTTACCTATCCTTATATTAAAAAAGATGAAAGTATTTGTGGTTGTATTTGCACTTACTTGGTGAAATGCTCACTTCACTGAAAATCAGATGCAAATAATATGCTAAAATCTCTATGTAGAATATGTGATAAACCTACATTATCTTATATGTGTTATTGCTTCAAACATGCCAAAAAGATTTATTGTTACCTCGAAAGAAAGAGACAACGAATAAGTTCCTTAACTTAAGTCAAGTATCTACTTGTATGATAGTCGTAAACCCTATTAATAAAAAAATTTTCTTGGAAAAAGAGATCTGCGTTTCAAATTGAAACAGAAATATGCCTTTTTTTATTTTAAATGCTTGTATAAAAATGTTATCAAAAATAGAATCTAAGATTGACTTACTTAGATAAGAAAATGCCAGATTTGTGATTAAGAATTATGAGCTTGAGGCTGAGATTGTAAAGCTGAGTCAAATTATTAAGAAGAATGCTAGGCATGAAATTAGGGTTAAAGAACTAGAGTAAAAAAATACAGAGCTTAGGATCAGACATACGTCATTAGAATAGGTTTCCTTGATAGTGGATAAACAGCTACAGAATGATAATGAAATGATATCAGTGAGGTTACAAAAGGTATTTGTACCAGCTGTTGATGTATCTGAATTTGTAGTAGATCAGCAAAATAATGTTGATACTAAGTTAACGAAGGATAAGATAATAGATGATTGTTTGCTTAAGCAAACACTGTTGTCAGAGGTGTTACTAAAGATAACTGATATATACAATGTTTGCTAGAAGTAAACCCAGCTTGAGCAGTGTAAACCTGTTAACAAAACAAATAATACAATACCAGAAGTAAATGTGTCTACCAGCTCTCCATTTTGTGAAAAGGATAAGGAGACTGATAAATTCTTAAATGCGATATATAAAAAGAAGATTTATGATGAGATTAGGCAAAGGAAGCGGGAGAAGAAACTTCAAAATAATTCGTTACCAAAGGTAACTTTCTAAAGAGAATCAGATTTAGAAACACTTGTGACTTCTTTAGATTCTGTTATTCTCTTGAATGAAAAAAATGGACAGGGTTGATCTTCTTTTCTCAATCAGAGATTTTGTGAGATAAGAAAAATACTCGAGTTTCAGAAAATTCTAATAATAGTCTATCATCTAAATCATGTAATACTTCTTCTAGCTTTGAATGTGATGAAAAGGTGGAAAAAATTTCCTATAATCTGAAAGTAGAATAAGACTTGAGAGACGAGTTATCAGATTTCTGAATTCTTTTTAGAAGCAATTCTGATAGAATCTAATAAAGTTACATCACAAGTTATAGTTGATCTATTTAATATAGCAATAAAGGCTAGACGAAAGGAGATCTTATGCTGGTATTGTTACTATAAGGCGTATAAGGATTGAGTTAGGGATGTTAAGTCTAAGAATAATATTAATGATAAATCAGCAAGAACATTAGTGTATAGCGAAATCAAACCCCTTCTTCCTGACATTACTAATGTAAATTTGCGTAAAATAACTTTTAGAGCTAAAAAAATCTACAGTCAACTCTTGTTATAATGAACTCTATGTCCTAGACTTCAACTTCGCTATAAGGCTATAGTGAAGATTTTAAGAGATTTGATTGGCCAACTCACTATAACAAGAGTATTTTTATTATATTTGTTTAAAAAATTCATTATATCAAGAGTTCGTTATATCAAGAGTTGACTGTATATATTATTTGATGGAATAGGAATAAATAGAATTTAAATAATTAGCTATAGTATAAGTATCATCTCGAATTTATCTGATAATCAGATCCAGAATATTATAAATAAACGAAAAAAACTCTTTCTCCTTTCATCTCAAATTTCTAAAATTTTAGAAATTTACTGAAAAAATAAAAATTATTTTGCTCAAGTACTTTTATTTAAAATTTACAACTCTGTTAGCTAGTTCTTTAGCTCAATTCTTACAAACAGTTTAAAATACTTGAAAGAGTTTATTTATTTGATAATTTTTACAAAATGATTAAAAAATCTCTGTTAACAAAACCAACAAAGGTCGCTACAAATTTCTAAAAAATAAGCAACCTAAAGCTAGTAGCTCTTCTCGCTCTGGAGAAAAGCCTAACCCATCCTTGGTTACTGACAAGGATATTGTCGACGATACTTATGTCAGACAATCTAACCCGCCACCCAACGTCCTTGACACTCAAGAATACGTTTCCATCGAAGATGATACTAACATGAAAACTAAAAACTCTGACTTTATTGTCATTCCTCGTCCTTCTCCTTTTGCTTGTGCTACTTCTATTAGCAAAAATACCAAGGAACTCCTTACACCCCAAATTATCCGCGCGATTAACAATGTGTTTGCGCATGACGATGCATTCAGAGGGCTGAATGTACATTGTATAAATTTTGTACGCTCTGTAATTATCTATTTTGATAATGCAGAATCTATGTAGGCTGCACTTCCTACTCAATTTCCTGAATTGGACATCAAAAAATTTGTGGACTATACTACGTATAAGGATAATACTCAGTTCCAAAATAAAACTTTACGTGTTACTGATATTCACCTCAGTCTCAAAAAAGAAATGATCACTTCAATTTTTTCCAAATACGGTACCATTACAAACATCCGCATGCAGACCAGAGACCTATGGTAACATGCATTTATCACCTATAATAATGCAGATGCAATCAAATTGTTCTATACTACATAGTCCCATTATATTTACAATGATTGTGTCTGCATATACCCTGCATGCTTCTCTCCAGAACAAGTCAAAGAGAGGAATAAATTCAGGGTTAAATTAACCAACCTCCCCTTTGGAACTTCTGCCCATAACCTTTAAGATATCATGCTTGCTGTTAAAGCAAATCTTGCTATATCCCCCGCTCTAACAATTACAAATCCAGACCATTCGCCATTCTTTATTTCGAATTAGCTGAGGACTTAAAGAAAGCCATCACTAATGATTATGCTTTTGGTAACAATGAGTTGCATTAGTGCGCAGCTGATTCTATAAATGTGGCGCAGTTGACCACATCGTGATGAAATGCCCTATAATTCTAGAACAAAAAAATTGACAGATGAAGTCAACAAACTTAGACCTTCTAAATCTAAACTGCCTTTAGTTTAACGACTTTACAATCGTTTTAAACCTGTTGGATCTCGCTTCCTAAAAGTAAAATGACCAACAAACCCCTACACCTCCAAAACTAATTTCCAATAAAGGTAAAGGATCACAAACAGTCGATGACTTCATCCACAACCCTCAGAATATCTCATCTGATGAAACAAACAAAAAACTTGATAAAATCCTCAACATGTTAATAAAAATGCAAAAAGATATGTCTGAATTGGAGGCTCGTATCTCAAAATTAGAAAAGTATGAATTCAATTCAGACTCCACCTCCATCCTTTCCACCACCAACATCTTTCACTAACCTGCTTCACATGATCTGGTCTTAAACTTCAACCAAAAAAACGTACTCGTATCGCTAACTTATCATCTGATGAAAATACTTCCTCTGCTCCTAAGCCTGTCGATCCCAAACTTCAAGAATACATGGATGAACAAAATGCTATCATTGGAGACCTACACAAACAACTCAAAGAGGCAATGACTCAAATCATTCTTCTTGCCAACAAAAATATACAATAACTCTCTCACCCTTAACTCCTTATCTCCAATCATGATTAATAACAATAATAATAATTTTTCTAATACTGATAACGATACACCTGTGATAACACCTTAACAAGATGTTATATTCTCACCTGCACCTACCATTACTTTTGTTACACACAATGTCAATTCTCTCCAATGTTCGATCAAAAATCAATTTATCAATGACACTTTCTCAGACTTCAATACTGATTTTATTAGTCTCACAGAAACTCAACACAAAGTAGATCAAACTTTTCGCAATCTATCTGATCCTACCTATACTTCCTATTAGAGTAACAACATCAACCTTCATGCTGGTATTGGCATTCTTATCAAAAAATCTTGGGCAATTTATGTTCAAAAAGCATTTCTACATAATGATAGATTCATTTACGTTGACCTTTATTTAGCAGATAATGTTAAGCTTAGAATCTTTTGTATCTATTTACATGCTTTTACAGAAATGTAAATCAAGAAAGAATGAATGAAATTACACAAAGAAATCATTACTCATGTCAAAGAAGGACTTAAGTCTGATTTCAGAACTATAATTTTAGGTAACTTTAATGCTAACTAGATAAATATTAGTCACTCATATGCAATGGTAAATCGATTCATTGGCAAATGAAATTCTATCAAAAGCTTTTTGCCTTGAATTTTCTTAACCTTTATGACACATGTCATAATACACCCCAATCAACATACATTTCAGGATCTCATAGCTCCTGAATTGATACTATTTTTGCTTCACCCAATATTACATTAGAATTTTTATATTCATATATTGACACTTCTGACCTTTATTCTTCAGATCACAAAATTGTTTTTACTTTCTTCTCTGATTTTTGCAAACAACAATCTGCCAGATCTCGTAATTTACAAAATAAAAGGCAGATTCCTAACCTAAAAGCAATGAACAATACCAAATGGATTGAATTCGCTGTATACATTAATCTTCATTATCGCTATTACAATTTTGATCATTTTAATAGCCTTCCCAATAACAAAACTAATATGAATATCATATGGGTCTAAATAAAGACTGCTATTCTTGCAGCAAATCGCAGTTGTATTCCTCAAGTTTGGATCTCTCTCTAACAACACCACAAACATCCTTTTAAACAACCTGACTTACTTATTAACGCTCGCAAAGTTGCTTCTTTCCTATTGAGATTTAAAAACACCTTCATCCAACAACAAATCTAACCTAACGTTACCGATTGGCAAGCTATTAAATCAGCTGTAGACAAATTAGTCCTAGTGGCTAGACTTCCTGTTATCACTCTCCCCTTCTCCTTAAATGCTTCTAATATCCGTAATGTCAAGAAACAGCTCAAAGACATCTACAAATCTTTCTCTGCTCTTGCTCAAATTAATGTTCAACATATCAAAGAAAATGCCATCAAAACCTTCATTGACAAAAGATGTGACAATCTTCAAAATGATTCTTCTAAAATGATTGACTCGATTCTAAACTGAAAAAAACGTTCTATCATATTAGATCGCTTACTTATCATGGATAGAACCACCTTTACAAATCATTTTACAATTGATCCAGCTGAAATTAAAAGCGCTTCTATCAATCATTTTCAAAACTTCACTCTTCTTTTCTCACCTATGCCGCCAATGTCTTCCAGATGGATTGCTCAATTCAATCCTCAAGATTACGTTGATGATTCACACTACTCAAACTTAATGCAACTGCCTACGTATGACAAATTGATTGCTGTCCTCAAATCACTCCGCTGATCCTTCAGGAATTTCAAATGAAATGCTTTCTCATTTAGGTGATAAACTTCAACAATTACTCAGGAAACTCATCTATATGTGTTTCATCTTAGGCAATATTTCTAATGAATGGAAAATCACACATATCTACTCCATCTCAAAGCCTATGGACTGGGAATGTGATATAACAAAAACCAAACCTATCACCTTGCTAGAGACTTGCCAAAAAGGTTTCGTTAAAATTATCACCAACAGACTCTTCACAATACTTGCCAAGCATAACATATTATGAGGTAGGAATTTTGCTGGTCTACCTGGTGGATTAACTGAAGCACTCATCAAAATTGTCAATATGTTGTTTAAAGATGCAATCGAAAACAAAAAAGAAATT